CTCTAAATCTGAGAATCTAGGATCATGCTCATAGGGCTGCATGTAACTATGAGTTTTCTTAGACACTTACAACACTAGCCCGTGAGGTCACCCAAGGCAGGGGTAAAGCTGTCTTCCCTGCGTCCCCAATCTAACCCAGGGCCAGGCACATAAAGACTTGCAATCATGTCTGTCGAAAAACTGTCTCAGTCCTTGGATGATTTTCAGCGTTAATCCTGTTTAGATGTCAAACACTAATATTGTTTGAATCAAACCAAGAAGAATGAAAGAAAAGCTTCTTAGTGAAGTAAATTCACGGAGCGGTCTCCTGTATGTAGCTGGGGGAAAGGGTGACCAGCTTGCAAGGTTAGGGCTATGCCTGAATAAGGTGATGATATTAGATTACCTTAAAAAGGTTTAACAGAACCTCTGAACCTCAAATACAATCTATCTCTTTTCCTCTGGGGGGAAAGCCTTTCTACTTGTACACGACAAAGACAGTGTTGTTTTTCCAGCACAAATGCACTTGTGCTGAGATACTGCTTTGCGTGACTATTGCTGAGACATGAGTGACCTCAGAAAGGGGCGCAGGGAGAGGCGAGCAGGAGTGACTAGTGATAAACACAGCACCCACATACCTGCTTTCCGAGTGGGTTCACCATTCCTCCAAAAAGCTGGCTAGGACTAGAAGTAGAGATAAGGAAAAACTCTGAGAGTTTGCTATTAAAAACAACAGCAACAACAACTTGTGGCTTTCTGTTACCTGGCGTTCTGTGCGGCCTCATGACATTTAACCATTCTGAAATGTACCAGGTCAATTAAGAATTGCTAAAAAGACAAATCAGTCCTCACTAGAAAGCGCAGCTGAAAGCAACAGGACACGCACAAGAAAGCCATGTTTGCAACAGACACTGAATAGCAATGAAAGCCGTACAACAGAAAAGGGAACTAACTGAACTATAAAATTTTACAAAGGTCCACAAATACAATCACTCAACAGCACGTGACTTGCAAACTCTAGGGGCGATAATGTAGTTTTTTTTCTACAGAATAAATTATTGCAGGGAGTCATGTGATTCTTAGCAGGCAGAAAGATACACTTTCCCAAGGAAAGTTCATCATTAAATATCTTACTTAAGAATGGATCATCTTCAGACTATTTTTAATCTCCATCATTTCGCTGCCAAAACTGGCCATAAGCAGCTGATACTTGGCCACCAGGAAAATGATGCTTTTGCACTTACTTCGTACACTGGCATAAGAATGGTATTGCTTTCCAGTTAATCAAGTGTTTTGGTGGGTCTGGACTGCCAACAGAAGACAGAAACTGCCTGCCGACCAACTAATAAAAAGGAAGCTAACCTCTACTGGATGTGGAGAAGTAAGTTCCTGTCTTCCTAAACCACAAAGACCAAAAGACCAAAAAACAAAAACAAAAACAAAAACAAAAAACAAAGAAAGAAAGAAGGAAAAAAGTCACGCCACCATCTCATCAACAGAATGAAGCTAATCTCCTATTTAAGTCTTCTCTTTCTTTTAGTAGCCCACAGCTCACTCTCTTCTGAGACATGAAACTGAATATTGTCCCATTTCTCAGCTTGGAGGGAGCAATCAATTTCATCCACCGTCAACATTCCCATATCTCAACACTTTGCCTACAAGAGCCCCTTCCCCTTGAAGCAATCCCAGTCAACACATCTATAGAACTCAAACTGTGTTACGAGGGGGTAAAATAATAACTAATGGAGGTATCAAAAGAGCGAAATCTCCGGCCTTTAATTGAAATAGAAGAGCTGTGTTACTTTATTGGGATGAATAATGCCAATACAAACTATATAGCTACCATGAAAAACATTCTTGAGAAGACTGAGCTTACAATAATTTATCTTTTCTCTTTTGTTCCAATGTATCTCATCCAAGGATCAGATCACACTAGAGGACATGTGGGAAATATTCAGTATTCTAGGTAATACTAGAAATCCACGAGGCCGCTGGAATGGGACACTGGAGGATCCACCCCAGGCTGTCATTCTTCCTAAAAGATGGCCCCAGGAACCAATGGTAGATAATAAACATCTCTAATTGTTATGTGCACTTGAAAACCTGTATCTCATGTGAACTACAAATTCAGACTCATTAGCTACGGGGTGGAACCTGAGCTTCTGCATCTCTAAGAAGCCCCCAGGTGATGCCCCTGCTGCTGGTCTGTGAACCCCACTTGGAGTAGCAGGGTCTCAGACATTTCCTAGAACTAATGCTGTCTTGTAATCCCTCTGTCCTGCTTCTCTCACAATGCCTTATTCAAACTTAGGAATAAAGCCACACTCCATTCTAACCCAGTTTCTTCTTTAGGCTTTATTTAATTTGTAGACTTCTGGGACTATCTCTCAGACGCCGCTCCCTCCAAGATGCTGCTTTCTCCCAGCTATGGGACATGGAATACAGTTTTCCTTCATCTCAGAAGGCTGATTTTGCATCAATAGCAGCAAAGAAAAAAAGTGACTTCAGATCTGAAACGCCCATTTTTCTATGCGCAGTATGATCCACTGAGTCCTAGAAGCCACACACTTCATTGTCAAAGGTCAAAAGAATGTACTAGCTCTCTTCTGAAACTTGACCATTGGCATTCAGAGTACTTTACACTGTAAGACGCAACACAGTATTAAGGATGCAACCCTGACTGGTGCAAATTTCGGGGGGAAATCTGTAGGCCCTATGCCTAAACTAAACTTTTAGATTAGTCATGCCTATTTGAAAGGATAGGTAAATCATCTGTAACTCTCAAATATACCACTTTGATTCCAAAGTATCCATTTAGGATTACATTTCCTGATACCTCCTTTCTTTGGCCAAATTCCTTTGTTTTCCTATATAGTCATCCATCTACATGTTGTTCTGAAAATGACACATTTTACATCAGCTATTTGTGCCTCTATATGATTTATTTTTACTATGAGAGGTTTTGTAAAAAAATTTCTTTATCACGTTCTACGGTATGTCCTTGTGGTTTGGCATCATAAAATACAGCCTCGACATTTATCAATCTCAGATACCTGTTGACCACAAAGATTGGCTCTACTATGAAGACTCTATTTGGAAAGGAGTTAAAAGTGAGACTTCACTTAAAAAGGAAACTCAATTGCATGAGATGTTAACACAGTAAAACACAACAAAACAAAGGTCAAGGTTCTATCTTAATTTCTATCATAAGCATATGTCTGTTTCCTAGCTTTTTATCAAATTTCTTAACATGACAGTTACCACCTTGGATTTCTTTCAACTAGAAAGAAAATGTGAAATATTTTTTTCATAAAAATATGAACTGTCAAATCAGTTTTACTTTGGTCTTAGAAAGATCCTTTTGGAGTCTGGAACTCTCTACCTTTTTGGTTATGGTGGTTAAAAATAAAACCACCTACTTAACCAAACATTTAACAAAAATATCCTTTTACCCTTTAGTGAATTCTTCCAGAATTACTAAAGATCTGACAATCCAAGATCTCAAAAAGACAATTCACAAGGAGCATTTTACATGTTAGCAATTTAAATGGGGATATTTTACTTTTAAACACTGAACAGTGGCATCGAAATTTTGTCCATTCGATCAAGTAGGATCAGATTTTCATGTCAGCCATCTACTTTCTTGGCTTTTTCTCTTTTTTCTTGGCCTTAATATTAGCATGCTTGTAAACTGTAGTAAAATATGTAATGTGCTTCTTGAAATTGAATCCACTTGTAGTCATTTCTAGGCTTTGTGCTCCTGTTAGGTCCTATAAAATAATAACATCAGTAATTCTCCCTAGAAACCACACAAGGAAGGACTGCATTGCAGCCTTTTTCAAAAAGAATTCTTCACATTAAAACAAAAAGTCTGAAAAATTTCCAGACAAGATTCCTCTTTTACTTTTTCATAAATTATAGTAATTTTACATACAAGATGTAGATCTCAATTACAGTTCTTCAGTCTTAGGATCTGGACCCCCTCCCCCAAAGAATCACACAAAACAATACCTTTATGGTAACGTGATAGAAGCTCTATCTAGCACCAGCAAAAAATCACCTCACAGTTGTTCTTCAAAGCTACAGGCATCGATCACTACAACTAACGTCAGAGCATGAGAGAATCCACAGCTGAGAATCAATGCTTCTACGCTCTCTATAGACACTGTAGATGCACGTTTTTTCGGCAGAGGAGACCACCAAATGATGTGGACTGTAGGTGGTGAAAAGTAAAATATACTAAAATTACAGTAAACTTTGAAATCGTACACCGGGTATAGAAACAGAACACAAAGTATGCAGCCAGGACAAATTATGTCACTGATGAGATAAAGTATCCATGGCCCAATGTTCTTCAAGACACTCAGTCATGCCCACTGGGAACAATGTGGCACCCACCACAGGATGGAGTTCATGGACCTTCGGAAAGTCAACTTACCTCCTTACAAACACATCTAAGTTCTCCAGGGAAAGCGGCTACACCGGATCTCCTCTTAGGGTAGATCTTACCAAGTGAGTCAGAAAAGGCATGCCCTTGGTCCCCTGGTGGAGTCTATTCTTCTAACTGGGTAGTTCCCAAATTGTAGTACAAGTAAGAAACCCCCAGGGGAACTTGTTTAAGATGGGGATCGCCAAACCATCCTGGAGTCTAGCTCCTGAGGAGTCCCGGCGTTTGTCGGGGGCAGGGGAGGGGGAGGATCTTTGGACCCCCAGTTTGAGAAGCCCTGGAGGGATACCATTTATCGCGAGATCCCACTGGATAGCAAATGCTGGATGTTTAAGGCTCGATGGCTGGCAAGCAAGGAAAACACTTTTGGTCAGAAGGAATCATCAACAGTAGTGTTGGCAGGGGGAGCTTCAAACGGGGGGGGGGGGGAAGGGAAGCAGGCCACCTGATTTTACGTCCTTAGCTCATCAGCCTGCTCTTGGTCCAAGAGCCCACCCACACTCCAACCATGGACTCTCAGCCTCAGATTTGAAACGTCCAGCCCAGACTCACATTCAAACAGACATGCACCTACCCAGCCTCCGTTGTCCTGGATCCAGGTGTGCAAGTGCCGGTTCAGGTACTCAGTCATCCACAGAGCGATGTTGTCCACCAGGGGCGACATCTCCCGGTTGACGCTCTCCACACACATGACCCCACCGAACTCAAAGAAGGCCACGATCCTCCCCCAGTTCACCCCATCCCTGAAGAGCTCCTCCACCACCGTGGCAAAGCGTCCCCTTGCGGTGAAGGGTGTCAGGTGCAGCTGGCTGGACATCTCCGCGAAGTCGCGGCGGTAGCGACGGGAGAAGTCGTCGCCCGCCTGGCGCAGGGTCAGGTGGACCACAGGTGGCACGGGGCTGAGCGCAGGGCCCGCGGCGGCGGCGGCGGCGGCGGGGGCGGCCGGGGCGGGCGGCGGCGAGGTCCTGGCGGGCGCGGGAGTGCGCCCGGGCTGCGAGGAGTAGATGCCCGGCGCGGGGGCGGCCCCCGGGGGCGCGGCGCCCGCGTCTCCGGCGTCCCACTCGTAGCCCCTCTGCGACAGCTTATAGTGGATGTACTTCATCACTATCTCCCGGTTGTCATACCCTGTTCTCCCAGCGTGCGCCATCCTGCCCCCGAAAGCAGCCGGGTACCAGCAGCACCTCTCGCCCCTGCTCCCGCCCCACGGCCCCGAAAGAAAGAATAGTTATAATCCAGCTATTTTATTGGATGTGCTTTGCATTCTTGGATGAGGGGGTGTCTTCAGTCACGCGGAACACTTGATTCTGGTGTTTCCCTCTTGGCATGAGATGCAGGAAATTTTTACTTAAATTCCTTTCGGACCTTTATTTCATGAGGCACATTATTATTAATTATGGTTAATATCAGTCTACTTCCTCTGCGATGCTGAAAGGTCAAAAAGAAACTAAGTCAAAATCAGGTGCATTTTCCTTTATACACTGGGTGAAAGAACGCAGGGCATACACACTACAACTTACACAACTAAAAAGAATGTATTTAACTGCCTGGAAATTAAACTTAACTCGAATGCACTTAAAGTTAAAATCTCAAATGTTTCCATTGGAAGTTACATTAAACCAATTTCCTGTGCAAAGAACTTACTTGTATTTTTTAAGGACAGCATGATCCTCTGTCAAGTTTCCTTTTTTGTGAAAACAAAACAAATGCATAAGGCAAAGATTCCATCAATCTTCAGAGCTCCCCAGTTATAGCTGCTTTGAAACTTCCAAATGAATCAGGAGTTGGGGGAGGGAGGGTAAAAAATTAGGAGAATTTCCAGTTTGATTCCCAGACTTCTCCTTCACAGAAATGTCAATCCGTAGGAATCCCAACCGGAGATCTCAAGAGCACGAGAAAAAAAAAGGCAGCGGCGGCGGCAGATGAATTACAATTTTCAGTCCGGTATTCGCAGAAGTCCTGTGATTTCCCCCCTCTCGGCAATTTACACACGCACACACACGCGCGGGCACAGACATGGATCTCTATCCGCGGGACCGCTTCACTCCTCCACGGGAGACAGACAGGGACCGGGGGCCGGCGGACGAGCCGGGCACGGGGGCAGGAATCCTCTTCTGATTAAACTCCGAACAGCAAATGCATTTTCCGAAAAGCTGCTTGATAAATGAAGGCAGGACGCGCCCGGCCCGCCGGTGCCGAGCGCGAGAAGCCCGCGCTGTGTGTGGTGCGGCGAGGGGTGGGGAGAAGGAGGTGGTGGGGGAGGGTTTTATTTTTTCCCTCTTTTCCTAAAAAGGATGACTGCTACGAAGTTCTCCCCCCTGGACCCCCTCTTCCGCTGCACCCCACCGGCGCACCCCGCCTCCGGGCTGCGCACCCTTTCTCCTCCTCCTGCTCCTGCGCGGCGGCGCTGGCGGCGGCCGCCCCCTCCGCGCTCCCGCCGCGCACCCGCTCTGGGCGAGGACGGCCGCGCCGGCGGGGAGGGCCCGGCGTCCGGCACCTTCGCTGGCGGCGGCGGCGGCGGCGG